CTAAATATTTCCATCAAAACAGTTATATAAAGTTATTGCGGGCGTTATGTAACGGTTTCGACACTACGCAGTGTTGTCGTAAAGTAAGTAGAAAACAACACAAAGGCAGAATGGGGCAGGTCGAGCGAGGGGTGCGTACCGGGGATGGGGGGGGGGTCCCAAAACCGGGCCCCAGCCCAGGACACGCCGGAGGGGCCGAGGGTCCACCGCCGCCCACACAGAAACGATCCTTGTCTCTGGTGAGGAGGGGAAGAGCTCCCTGTGGGAGCCTGTCTGTGCAGAGAGCAGGGAGACAGCGCTGTGCTTCAAAGTTGTGTTTGTCCCAGCTTGGGAAAGTTGGAGGCAGGTGACGAGAGAAACACACTCAAAAGACCCCAGAAAGCTTTAAGAACCACAGCTGCTCCAAGAACATAGGGCTTTAGGCCATTCAGTTATATTTAAGGGGCACAGGCTGGATGAGGCTTTGGGCAACCTGGGCTAGTGGAGGGTGTCCCTGCCCATGGCAGGGGGGGGGAACTAGATGATCTCTAAGGTCCCTTCCAACCCAAACCATTCCATGACCAACAGTAAAGACACGTCAAAGCCAGCCAGCCCTCCCTAGATCCCTCCAAGCGCTTCTGGTCTGAAGGCTGTTGGGTTAAACCAAGAGAAGACTACTTGGGTGAAGTTAATAACCACACACAGAGGTCAGTCAGCTTGTAACACTTCTCATCTGTTGCTTCTCCACCCCACTTTGTCCCCTTTTAATCTGCCTGGTGTCACAAAGTCAAGTTCTTACCGTGCTTTTCAGACCACCCCATAAAATGCAAATAATTTAAGGCTAGAAGACATTTGTCAGGCAGCTTGTATTTATAACATATTACCAGAAACTGACCTTTAGGAAGGTCAGGTGTTTTTTTTCTTTCTCTGTTCACACAGTTCTTTGAAATGTTTCCCAAGGAAGCAGGCTTGTCACAATCTGTGTGTAAATGCAACCAAGGTTCTCACATCTCCCTTCTACCAAAGTTTTGAGCCTGCTAACTAAGGGGATATAATCCTTCTAAGGCTTTACATTTAGTGAAATTGAGACAAGATGAGGGACTTCTGAATCACTTGAGTAAGAAAGCTCAAGCTTTGGTCACTAAGGTCTTAGCACATGTAAATAGAACTTCAAGGTCCACACAATTGCATGTTTCCTCATTTCTCATTTTTTAGTTAGAATTCAAGTTCTCTCCGATGTTTGAAGCAGAAGCAGCAACCTGAGCTTAAATGGATGAAATGAAACAGTGCTCTTTCATTTAACTCAGGACTTTATGCCTTGTAGGTTTAAGAATTAATCATAGTTCCTTTAAGGATTAGTTTGCAGAAGGAAAAAAACCCACCACCAAACTTGAGAGGCCTAAGTAGCAGCAATAGAAATGGCAGTTTTATTACTCTACCTATGAAGCTTACCTTTAATATTAAACTATATGGAAATCTAAACCTAGAAGGACAACTACAGAGTTCCACAGCTTAGTTTTGTGACTCTGCATACAAGTCTAAAGGCATACAGACTAAGATTTCAGCCAAAGTGAAATTATTAAAAACATTTTTTCCATAAAGGATTTAAGTGCTGCATGTCCATACAGTCATCAACCTCCACTGAAACTATGGTACCCCAGTTTCATTTTCCTCATGTTTACTACTAGCATATTCTTCCTTAAATATCAGCACCGTACAGTCCTCACACACAGCATTTTGATTATGATCTGTTGTCCTTCTTCATGAAAATCATCATAGGGCTACCCAAGACTCTTGGAATGCATATAAAAACAAGGAGTGATGAAAATTTGTAAATCAACTTTATTCAACGACGACCATCATTTAGGCATCGGCAATAGTAACTTCAACTTCTACACCTGGTTCAATGCTGATGGAAGTGATCTGCTTCACGATCTCAGAAGGGCTGTGTAAGTCAATGAGCCGCTTATGGATACGCATTTGGAAACGATCCCAGGTTTTGGAACCTTCACCACAAGGTGTCTTCCTGGTAGTGATTCGCAGAGTCTAAAGAAAAATCATAAACACAGGGTATTTAGCTGATGCATACAGAAGACTAAACTACAATCAAAACAATCCACCTAAAAATACTGTTACGGCTTCTACATCATTGAAAAGTTACTTCTTAAGATATATTCTACTGATGTTAACACCTCTTCCCTATATTCAACTTAATTTGAAAAAAAAAAGTTATTAAAATAAATTGAAGGACAAAAAAGCCCCTTCCATGTTCAACATGTTTTGTACTAAACAGTTGCCCCAAGCGTCAAAGCAATTTGTGAAGTCATTACCTGCTTACACTGGGTCACCCTCAATTCAGTAGTACTGCTTTTTATTGCAACTTTTTTTTTTGTTTTTTAAAAAAACATGTTTTAAGTGCACATCTGCAGAAAAACAAACTTTTAAAACAGGAAAACTGCGTTAAATACCTTGGTGGGCATGCGAACAGGTCCTTTCACCTTTAGGTTTTTTTCCTTAGCGCCTCTGATCAAGTCAGCACAGACTGAAAAAAATACAAAACAGCTCAGGTTTTTGAGTATTTTTTTAGCTTTTCTGAAGTGAAGATTTCAAACAAGATGTTGGCTCAGAATAGCGTATGAAATGATCACTGCCATTCATTTGAAGAGTTATCCTCACAGCCAACCACATACAAGTGGAAGTGTTACCCAAACTTGGCAAAACTTTGCTACAACAGTAGGCAAAAGCCATTATGTAAAGTTTAAGCAGTATTTAAGCTGTTATCAGCCTGAAGAGCCTGCATCAGTAATTCTACAAGATTTACATTATATGATTACAACACTGGCAAAGCCAGTTCCTAGACAAAATTAAATAATTTCTTAAGGAATGTTAAATTTCTAAAGTCTTCATAACAAGAGTGACAAAATATCAATCAGGAAACTGGTGGCTTTCAGTTCTTTTACATTCAGTGACATCTAAAACCCCCATGAGAACCAAAGCAAAGACACTACACTCTCTTAAGTTAGTCATTATGACATGACATCTTCAGCATGATGAAAACCCCCAAACACTAGCTTCCATTAAAAATTAAATTAGAATCTACTTGTCAGTGTATGAAGTGACATTATGTTGACTTTTTTAGCCAAGTCACACACAAACATGCAAACGCTAACATCTTTAATTACAACTGGTTTTAATACATTCTATTTTGCAACACCTCCTATCATATACATATCATTCCTTACTTAACAAGCTACCCCAGGTTTTTTTTTTTTTAAAGCATCACTCACCCTTCTCAAGTGATTTTACATTGCGACTTGTCAAAGTAATTCTAATGCGATGAATTGCTACCTCTTGTTCCACAGGTGCTTTACCAGTATCTTTAAACGCCTAAAATGTTGAAGGTACAAATATCAGACACCACAGTCAACACCAACTATCTGCAGCCTCTTAAAAACAGGCTCCTAGTGCATAAGGAACAACTTAGCGATAGGACTGTTTCATTCTGCTGACTCGATGACAAATCCCAAGGGTACGGTAGCTTGGAAGAAATAGTGGGAACAGAAAGGAAGGGCAAAGTCCTAACTCCTCTGAGGAAAATCCATTTTTTAGTGTCTTAACTGCAGTTCACGGTGGGAAGCTGCATGAACATCGCTCCCTGGTTTCTGCCCAGTCACAAATACCCCTTGTCCTCAAAAATAAACACAGTTCAGATTTCATGTATCTTACAACCTAACCTCAGCACGAATTGAGTAACAAAGATATCAACAGAACAGCAGCAACTTAAAACAGGGAGAACAACAAGGGGCATCTGGCCAGAAAAGACTCCTTCGGCCCCTCAGGAAACTGATTTGAGCAGCTTATGCCATTAAAGGCTTGCAAAGAATCGGGCATTAACCCGGACCGAGTGAACTGATGAAAGAAAAACATAAATACAGAGGAAGAAAGAGCTTTAAAACACCGTGGCTGAAACACAGCATGTCCCCGGTTGAAGAGATCCTACCTGACAGACATTTCTCTAACAACAGCCTGTTTTTAAGTCAAACGCACGAGGCCTATTCACCCCCACGCA